CTGCGCCCTCCTCACAATCATTGGTATGGTTGAGCTCAGTGGCCTAACCATTGTGTCGCTCCATCTTGCTAAGGGTCTTCCTCTTTTTCACTGGCCGTCGACCACGCATGATGTCCTACAGCCACCCTACATAGGGTTTCCAAGGACATACATCTTTAGGGGAGCACGCAGCCATATTTTTCTCTCACAGAAAAACAGGTAGGTTTGCATCACCAACCTTGCAGTTAGCAGGCGAAAGCTTACCTGACAGGGGCACTAGGGCTCTGCCTAAGGACATAGTACAAGGTCTACAAACCAACTGTCATCAACATCATTTTTTATTTTAGACATTTTTAGACCAGAGTACAAGGTCTATAAACCAACTGTCATCAACATCATTTTTTATTTTAGACATGTTTAGACTATATCCCTTTCCTCAGGGAAGAAAAGATAATTAGCATAGAATAATGTCATTCTTAATAAAACTTGAGAGCAAATCTGAGACTTGTCTTCTCTCATTGATCACCCGTACCCAACACTCATCAGCAATGTCTTAAGTCAAAAGCTGATAAGCAGCCCACAGCAGGAAAGGCCAATTGTCCCACTAGCCACTGAGCACACAGTGTGTGCAACGCTTTCCTACCTATGCTGACAGAAGCACTGCGGTGGCCTGAGCTTCCTGGCCAGGCTAGCAGACCTAAGCTATTCTAGACAACACACAAGTTGCTCCACTGTATGGGACTGACACTACGTCATTCGTGTTGCCTGGAACAGATGGGACGCATTCCATCAGAGGGTGGTCTTGAGCTAGACCTTACAGATGCTCTGGATGTCGGCTGGCAAGCAGTAGAGCCAGGAGTCATTTTCTAAGATAGCCTCCAGGGTGGGTCCCACGGTGAGCCCCCCGTGGAGCCACAGGAAGGAAAAGAAGGTGCTCCCTGGGGAGCTGTGGGGGAGAGAGCTAGACAGTAGGCAGAACCAGGCATGCACGGCATGGGCGTGTCCATATGAAAGCGGCGCTTCAGCTATCATCAGCCGGCTGCAGTGTGTAGCATGACGTGGAGGAAGAAGAGACTATAGGCGAGTGGCAGGGTTCCTGCAGTGGTTCTAATCTGAGGAATGGCGGCTGTGTGAAAAGGAGGCTGTGCAAACGATAGCAAGAGAAACTACCGGGCGGAGCTCTGTGGATGCTTCCATTGCGAATCCAACACTTCTACTTTGACTATAATGGGGACGGAGGGAATGTCCCCGCCACATGAGAGATTCACAAGTCTCTTCCCACCTGCCAGGAAGAATGTGACTCAGGAGGGTTGTTTATGTACCTCCAACCCTATAATCAAGGCCCCAAGTCTTACTGAAGTAGATCATCTCCCAGCCCAGTCATCAGCTCAACTCAAATGTGCGGCCGCTGCCACTGCTCTTTCCTCCCCGAATGTAACTCTTTCGAAAGATACGTGCACATCGACATGGGCTTTTGTGAAATGATGAACAAATTAAAAAACTGGGGTTTTTCCTCCTGAAGTATTCTCTTGGTTAAACGGAAGGAAAGCTATCCTTTACCTTTCCCCCCTGTATGGAACACATGCATGAAAGGCGCTCAGCGAAAAGGAATCTCCCTTCCTTTCCTGGCCCCTTTGCTGGGTTACCTCCCTGCCCAACCCCAGGCCCAACTAGGGACCACTGGTGATTACTTTCTTGACCATCCTCCCAGCAATTTCTGTGCACACACAGACCATCTAAAGCGAGTCCCACTCCCTCCTGTTTTACACTTACTGCAGTGTACTAGGCAGTTTCCTGCATCTGGCTTTGGCACCACCTACTAGATATCTTGGACATTTTAAAAGCCCCTTTTGAAGAGGAGGATTCTCTCTCTTTTTCTTTTCCCACCCATGGGTATTTTTCGGTAGCGATATAATACAATTTCTTTGACGTGTTCCTTCCTGATGGGGCACGTAGGTTTCCAATCTTGGGCTAGTACCGACAATGCTATAATAAATAACTTGAGGCGCAGGCATTTCACATGCCTGAGAGTTTACTTGCAGAATAAATTGTTAGGAACAGGATTGCTGGGTCGGAAAACAAAGGCATTTTCATTTTGATCGATGCTGCCAAACTGCTGTCCTAAGAATTGTAAAAATAAATGTGCTCACTAGCACGTAGGTGTACTTGGGCTCTCCAGGTCTAGGATCAAATCATTTGTAAGCCGTGATGGTTTTATATGCGGCTGTCAGGTTTTTACAGACCCCTAAATTTCTCTCTACTGTTTAACTGCATTGGCTGGCATCTCAGATAGCACGGTAAATAATAATGACGATGGCTGGCTTCCTTCTTTCGCTCCTGACTTTGGTGGGAAGGTTTCCAATGTAAACGGGATGATCCCTGCCCCCTGCCCCGCCCCCCACACAAATCCCATTCAATAATATACTTTACTTTTTGATAAAGTTCCTTCCATTCATTTAAATTACGGTTCCAATCATAATGAAAATCACACGTCAGATATTTTTATGCACTAGCCTCTCAGAGGGAAAATACATTAGCCCTCTCGCTTCCTGCTCCCAAGTCACCGCGAGTTACTCACCGAAAGCTCCTGGGTCAGCTGCCGAATCTTCTGCCGCATTTCGTCATAGTCTCCGTACATTCGCTTCCGGACTTTCTCCAGAGTGGCTCGCACCTGAAGCCCACAATGATGCCAATTAGAGATCAGGCTGTAACATTTGCGGGTGAGATTTCCAGAACTTTAAAAGAAAACTCGAAGGAGACAATAAATGGCGTGTGACAAACTATGTACATATTGCTGACTGGAAAACTGACCTGCTCTGTAAACAATCTTTAAAACATCTTTTTAAAACAACAACAACCTTCTGATAAAAGAAAGGCCCCCACAGAAAATACATTATAAAAGACAGGATCATCTGAGAAATCAAGGAAGAAGGTCTCTCTTGACATGGAGTTAGAAATCAAGGAGATTTTATTAACTCTCTATTGTCCTAATAATAAATTCTTTTTTTCTCTTTAAGGGAAGGGTTGCTGAAATTCACCTATCACCTTCAAACCACCTAAGGGCAAGGTTTACTTCTTTTTTCACCACAGGTTTTTACAAGGAGTTCCTAACAGTTGACTCTGTAAACACTTTGTTCCAGAGGCCCCAAATATCAAAAAACAAAAAGCAATCAAAGAGCAATTAAACAACTAGAATGGAAAAGTAGAAAGGCATAAGCCCATACGTTGGAAGGTCAAGTCCTTAATAATCACAAGGCATTAATATAACAAAATGTATGTTGATTCTCCAAAACACTGTTTACACGCACTTCAAGTAGTTTCAGCACATGACACAGGTGTAATGGAGCCTGACTAATTAAAAAAAATTAAAAACCCTATGGTCCCTGACTCCTCCCTTCTTCTTGTGACCCTAAAAGAGCTTCTAACCCACCTCACTGAATTGAGTCGATTCTGACTCAGAGAGCCCCCATCGGACAAAGTAGAACTGGTCCTTGGGATTTCCAATACTGTACATCTTTAATAAGAGCAGACAGCCTCATCTTTCTCCCAAGGAGCAGCTGGTGTGTTTGAACCACCACAGAATATTGCTGTTAGCAGCCTACAGCACCCCTGGGGCTCCTTCTAAAAGAACTCAGATTTCAAATGAAATGGTAAGAGACAGAGGAGTCTGCACTGACACTCAGGGATTCCTATACAGGATGAGCTACAGGTACCAGTTCAAACGTAGGAGATGTGCTGGGGAACAGTCTGGTTGTTTTATGTGCATAGAAAGTACGCTGCTGAGAAGGATGAGGGCAATGAATGTACAAATGCATTTTACACAGTTGATGTATGTATGGATTGTGATGAGAGTTGTATGAGCCCCTAATAAAATGATTTTTAAAAAAAAGATGTAGAATGAAAGATAGTAACTATATTGCAAACAAAACACTGTAAGACGCCTCAGAATAGATGCCTAGAAGGAGCCACACAGGATAAAAACACAAAAATTGGTTTTGTGAGTTTGGGATGGAAATTTCAAGAGTATACTTTGAGAGTTTTATATTGTTCCTATTTTAAATAGAGGAATCTTTGCAAATATGGCTGCTTCCACTAACCATGGGGTGTTTTGACAGCCTTCCTTGATATGGAAGAGGATGTTTGTATTTATTGTTGCCCTTTCCAGTATCCCATGGTATCTGGACAGTTTGTTTTATAATGTGGATAAACATAAAGGAAATTAAATGCCAAAAAAAAAAAGAAAGTATGCTGTAATAAATTAGACTACGTGTTTATTAGAGGTGGCTTGGAGGGAGAATATTAATGGAGATTAGAGAAGGGGGGAAATTAAAGACCCTGAGCAATTCCCAGATAAATTTTAATAATAGAATCAGCTTTCTTACCATTAATTACAAATATTTTTGATAGAGAAAGAAAGCACAGGCTAAAACCCCAATTTTGTTTTGTTTCTCAGGCAGGTAGAATGGCTTGCAGGTGTGGCCCCGAGCTAATTCTTGGGCTTGTCCCAGGACTTCGGTGGGTGGAATCTTGAGCTGGGTGTCAATCACATTGGCAAACACGACGACGTGAAGTCAGCTGGGGCCGAGATGCACACAAAGGGAGGGAAGGAACCAGCCCATCAACACACTCAGGGATGCCCAAGCTGCAGCTGGACCAGAAGGCTGGCTCCTGAAGGTGGAGTCTGCCAGTTCATATAAGATGCAGATCTCAGTGGAGGTTGGTAATTCTGGGGCAGAACCACTCCCACAGCCTCGACACACGTCACCCAGGGCTCATATTCAGCCTGGGCCTGCTGTCTCTGTCTTGGGCAATTGTGATGTTCCACTCTGTGTAGACTGTTTACCACTGAAGCAATGCCGTGGTATGTGGGACATTTAAATGAGGAAGAGTTAACCGTCTCCTGAGAAAAACACAGGAGGCCCTCTTGAGCCGGCTTGAGAATGTTTGAACTGGAGCAGGAAAATCAAGAATGCAACCCTCGTGTAAGTGGTTTAAGTTCACTGCAGAGGGGTAGGATGACTGGGGATTGTCATATATGTTCTATGTAGTGTGTGTGTGGAAGGTGCTTTTCTTCATTTCTTCTGTTAAGCATTTCTTACTTCTGAAAGTTAAGAAATGCTTTTTTTTTTTTTTTAATGCATAATGATACTACAATGCGGTCCTGTAGTCTTATCTGCAAAGGTATCAAATTGGGGCTCAGAGAACCAGAGGCTTTGACCTTCCATGAGAAATCTTAACATGAGAGAACAAAAGCCCAGAGAGGGCAAGTGAGAGGCAGACTCAACACAGGGCTGGACTTTGAACCAAAGTCCATGGGCTCACGGGCCTGGGTGCCTGCCGCTGCCCTCCTCTGCCACTCAGACAAGCACTTGCGAGGGCGCAGGTCTGTGTCTAAGGTCCATCAATGTCAGGGAAGTGCTCTTTTTCTTTTATTTAAGCAGGGGCCTTGGTTTGGGCAGCAGGTGCATGAGTCAATCTAGGAAGGCCATGGGTGGACTGAAAAGAAACGGAGCTGCCAACACTCATTGCTTGTGTAACCCGAGTCCAGTCAACTAAGTTGGTAATCTTTCTACTTGGTTTTCAATTAAGGTTCGTCTCTGTTTTACAGTCATTGAAGTTGGGCCATTTGTGTTTTATTCTTATTTTGTCTGTTTTTCTGGCTTTGAAGCCCAGGAGAAGTCAACTTATAGAGACAACAACTGGACTAACAGAGTCACAGGGACATGGCAGTGAAGGTGGTGGAGAAGTGGAACGCTCCCAACGAGGACAAGGAAGAAGAAACCCCTGGAATGCATAGTGGGGATAGTTGCACAGCTCTCACAAATGAGACTGAACTAGTGAAATGTATGATATGTGAATTGTATGTCGGTGACCCTGTCAGACATAAATAAATTAATGGTTTAATGGAGATAGGTGATAAATGGATGGGTGGATGAATGGATGGGTAGAAAGGCATAGAAAAAGATTAGGATGAAATGCTTCAACTGTTACCAATTGCTTTGGACTAATTTACAGCCAATTTTATTTTCTCTTTAAGGTATTTTCCAAGTTTTCTCAAAAGAACATGTACCTAACATAATCATAAATTAAATACAAAAAATGACACTGATGGATGGTGCTGCACAATTTCTATTGGGTTTCACTTCTCAGCATGTGTTTAACCCAACAATTGGTCTGGACCACCCAGGGTGTCTGATTCCTGACCAGGGATGTGTTTGGGAACGGGAATGTGTCCAGTTCTGATCCGTGAGACATGGGGAGGAGGCAATAAAGTCTCTAGACAGTAGTACAGAGAGGAGTGGCCTCTTTCCTTCCTCCATTCACTGTCCTGTTTTCCAGTGATACCATAGCCTGATGCTCAGGAGGAAAGTATCTGGAAGAGCCCTGCCTGGAACCAACTTGACCTTGGGTGTATCTCTACACGATAGGGCTGTTTTGATTAAACTGGTGTGAGCTAGCACTTCTGTTAGTGGCTGCCAAAACCATTCCAACTCTTGCAGGTTACTTTGGGGTGTGCAGTATCATAAAGGACACCACGCAGAAACCTTGATTCGATACACGGAAGAGAGCAAACCCTTTGACCTGGAGATCTATACTCGGTATCTCCCATCCCATCGAGGTCCCACCGATACCTCATTGCAAGACGACATCTGTGCTCTGAACATTGCCAGGCGGTAGAAACATCCCACGACAAAACAAGATGCCCCCAGAAAAACAGTCCCTAAAGGGCTCACATCTTTGATGTAGTCCATCTCTTCTTTCAGCTGACTGGTGGACCATCCATACACCACCATTTCTTTCTGCTGGTTTTGATCTGACCTGCGCACCACACCATACACAACGCCCTGAGGAAGTTTCCTGGTAGCTTCTCCATTGCTTAGGTCAGGCTGCTGAAAGGAAGCAGAAAGAATAGCTCTTTAGGCCTGATGTAAACCGCCTCCGTGGTAAAAAGCGGACTGATCGCTGAAAGATGAGTGGTTCTGTTAGGGTTCTGGAGTAGATCATACCTGGGTTCTTTGCTGTGCATGCTGAAAGAATTCACACCGAAGCTTGTTTTGTAATCCAAGTGAGACTTTTTATGAAGGAACAGAGAAGTTTCAGGTTTTACAGTCTCAAAGGGGTGCATGCTATTTCTGGAAAGTGTGCCAAGCCTTGTAGAAGCCACGCTGGGGTTCATAATGGCACGAAAAACCACGTGGACAAGAGCACCCACATGTGCGGAACTGGGGAATCCCTGGAACCAAGAGGTCAAGGGACCAAGAGTAAGTGAGCAAGAGAGCTTGCCAGAGCATGCTCCCTGTCTTCATTCTAGACCTCAGTGGCTGAGTTAGGCCCACCTGTGATGTCCCTAGATAAGGTGGGTGTGTCCAAGATATTGGTGTTGCCTGGGCCTCAGGGGTCCTGGTGTGTGCATGCTCAGTTCTGGTTTCTCCCATAGGTGTCTAATGGTTGCCTGATTTCTTTCCAACCTGCTCTATGGGGTCCTTTGCAGGCAGGGGAGGGACATCCCCACTTGTCCCTAAATCCAGCTATCCAACAGTCCCAATCTATGGACAACCCATCAGGCGAAAGATGTAACACCCTTTTCTGTAAGACTGAAACCCCATGGGGAAGTTCTCCTCCTTCCTGTGGGGTCATGATGAATCATGACTCTGTGGTGATGGGTTGGTTTTGGATGGGAAAAGAATGTTGCCAATCACCCGGCAGCCAAATTGTCCTCTAGGCGAGGGCGGACTACAGGGCTGAAATAAGGAGGTGAGGCTGGCCCACCATCTGGTGTGATCGTTCCTTAAATGATTCTGAAGAGCCAGTCAGAGGGGGTGTGACTGGAGTCTAAAAGCATCTCCCTGATCCTGCTGGCAGATCCATGATTCCTTCAATGAAAGCTTTGATCTTTGTTGGGATGTAAATGTCCTTGGGACTATTTCAGCACCCTTGAGTGAGTTGGAAGCCTTACTGGCAGTGAGGTTTTTGCTTTGTTTTTTGTAGAATAAAGTCTCAGGAAATAAGAGAAAGGGAAACTCCGATTAGGTGAGCAATGCTGTAAGCTAGAAAGGTTCCTGCATACAATTAATCCTGAAAACACCCTATAACACAGCAACTGCTCCCTATCGCTGAGAACACGGATGTCCAGAGAGCTCAAGTAACGTGCCTCTGGTCTCACACCGAGATCCGAACCCACGTGTGGCCTGACTCAAATTACACGTCTCCACACTGCAGACTGTGTTAGAGCTGGGAGCACAACGGGGTGGGGCCTCCTGGAACATGGCAGGGGCAGAGGCAAAGAAAAGGATGAAGGCCAAGGGTTCCGTCTTCACAGGCAACGTGCCCTGCTCCCAGTTTCCCCGGGGGCTGACCCTGGTTCCCACAAGGCCACCAGACACAAGCCGAAGTCCCACAGTGGCACCTCTGCTCGCTCGCGGGTCTCAGCTTGTTTTGAATTGTGCACTCGGGGAAGGTTTACAGAGCAGGTCCTAGTTTTACGTGAACCAGTTCCTACGCATTTTATTTCCACACCCCCCCAGCAGCAGCCCACGTCCTCTGTGCTTCCTGTTTCCGTCCCTCCTTCTGGCAACTGTCTGTCCTTGGGCAATGCTGCCCTGTTGATCAGAAATGGTTGCTTATTCTAAGGCAGAAATGAGTTCCGTCCAGACCTAAAGAGTAAGAGCCCTTGCCTTAGGGGTCCTGGCAGCCTCCGTCTGACCAGTAAGTCCAGTCCCTTTTATGAGGTTCTCTTCCAGTTTTCTCTCATTGCATCCAGGACCTTCTTGTGGGTTTGGTTTTGTTCATTTTCTATTTCTTTTTTTTTTAAGATCACTTTATTAGGGGCTCTTACAATTCTTGTTACAATCCATACAGCAATGGTATCAGACACATTTGTAGCGATGTTGCCATCATTCTTTGTCAGATATTTACTTTCTATTAAGCCCTTGGGGATCAGCTCGCTTTTTCCCCTCCCTTGCAGCCCCTTGATACGATGTACGGATTGTTATTATTTTCACACCTCACACCAACCATTGTCTCCCTTCCTCTCGGGTGTCTGTTGTTATTCCCCCCGGAAGGGGGCTGTGGGCTGTGTGGTTACGCACATATCCAGGACCTTTTTTGTAGCATTGTGAGTTGTTGTTTTTTTCTAAATCATTTTATCAGGGGCTCACACAACTCTTATCACAATCCATCCATCCATTGTGTCAAGCACATTTGTACATTTGTTGCCCCCATCATTCTCAGAACATCTGCTCTCCACTTACGTCCTTGGCGTCAGCTCCTTATTTCCCCTCCCTCCCCGGTAGATGCAGGCCCTTCTACACGGTCCTTTTCAGAGTGATTGGTGGGACGATGACATGAACAGAGGTTCTGAAGTCTGCCATAACTTTCCCTTTTTCCTTCATCCACTGCGTATTATTTTTTTGTTTCGGATAAAATTTTTTTTTAAGATTTCATAAAACACCTGTTGCTTCCCACTCTTCTGCAGCTCTGGGAGGAACCGGGTGAAGAGGAATATGACATTTTGCATTAACTCCCAATAAATGCTCAAGGCCCTCCGACCAAGTCTACCCAAGACCCCGCATTCGCTGATGCCGCTCCCGAAGTGCACGTGTAAGCTAAGGCGGTCAGGTTCTGCCATGGCTCTCTGTGGGGGGGCAGGCTGGCATGAAGGCCTCTCTGAGGTAGCAGGCATCTAGTCAGACAGAGGAAACACTCTAACGAAGCGCCCACGTTTGTGGAAACAAAAGTTGGCTGCTTCCTCGGTCCAGGACTCCACCCAGTTCCTGAAAAACCCGCTCCAGACCCCGCCGAGCTTTGGTAGCATGCATGCCTGCACAGGGAAGGCTTCCTCAGGGGGGTCGGTTTGCAGGAAATCCCTCAGGTGACTGGACATGAGGGCTGTGTCCTGGCGCCAATGTGGGGAGATACGGGCCACCACTGATGGAGCAAAGTACAAACACACACACACACACCCAGGTGCACAGAGGGCCTGCAGGGAACGGAAAGACCCTGAAGAGGCACTAAGTGAAAGCGTTCGGGTTTTAAAAAGTGTTTGAGGAATGAAAGCTTCCAGAAGGATGAAATTCAAACCTTTCATGGAAAAGTTTCTTCATGAAAATGGGGATTTCTCGGCTAGACCAGAGGATGTACATTGGTACAGACAGCAACTGGGAACACGGGGAATCCAGGGCAGATGATCCCTTCAGGACCAGTGGTGGAAGTGGTAATACCAGGAGGGTGGAGGAAGGGTGGGGTAAAAAGGGGGAACCGAGTACAAGGATCTCCATATTGGGTTTCCAAGGCTGTAAATCTTTACAGGAGAGAGAGCCTCAACTTTCTCCTGCGAAATAGCCCGTACAGTTGAACCACCAACCTTAGGGTAATCAGTCCAATGCTTATGGGATAGCGCCACACCAAGGCACCAACAAAAACCCTACTGTATAAATATTCTTAGCTCAACAGAAAAGTGGGTGAAGGGAGACATTGGACAGTGTAAGATATGACAAAATAATAATTTATAAATTATCAACGATTCATGAGGGAGGGAGAGCGGAGAGGGAGGGGAAAAATGAGGAGCTGACGCCAGGGGCTTAGGTGGAGAGCAAATGTTTTGAGAATGATGAGGGCAATGAATGTACAAATGTGCTTTACACAACTGATGTATGCATGTATGGATTGTGATAAGAGTTGTATGTGCCCCTAATAAAATGCTTTTAAAAAATGCTTCGCTCTTGAAGGCAGCAGACTCATCTGCTGCTAGTCTGTGTCTTTATAAATGAAAGTTCTTGGCTTGACCACAGTGCCTTCAAACGTGAATAGGCAGGAGCAGAATTAGAACTTACAGCTCTATGTGATGTCCAGAGCCTCGGTGGGCAGAGAAGCCAGAGCCTGGTCCGCAGGCTCCGGGTCGGTGGGCAGAGAAGCCAGAGCCTGGTCCGCAGGCTCCGGGTCGTCTCTCTGGGAGAGATGGGCACAGCCTAAGGAGGCTCCTCTGCAGTCTGGATGCACTCTCCCTTTCATCCCCCTCCAACCTCATCACTCCTTTGGGTTCCTTTCAAGCCAACCTCCTTCTTGCCTCAGGACACTTACAGGTGCCGTTCCCTCTATTTGCCCCGCTGACCAAAGCTCACTGCTGTTAAGTCAATGCCAACGCATAGCGATCCTATAGGACAGAGTAGAACTGCCCCCCGAGAATTTCTAAGTTCTACCCTGCCCTATAGAAAGCCTCATCTTTCTCCCAAGGGGTAGCTGGTGGTTTCGAACTGCTAACCCTGTGAGTAGCAGTAGAAGGGATAACCTACTTAGCCACCAGAGCTCCTGTGCCCTGCCCACAGGTGAGTGCAAATGTCCCTCCTTCAAGGAAGCCTTTCTTGACTCTTGAGACCTTCTCACAGTCTGTGGTAGTTACATAATCTGTTGTCAATTTGACACTTATGGGTGAAGGGGTGGAGTTTAGCCTGTCAATCAGATAGCAGTTTGATGACCTCATTTGGAGGCACAATGGAGATAAGTAGCTGGCTGGAGGCCAGACCAACACAGACTCTCTCTGCTCTCATTCCCTGGGGGACATGGCAGCTGACAAAACACATGGAGGCAGACTGATGGGCAGCCAGAGCCTCGGAGCTGGAGAAGCCACGTGAAGACCCCTGCCAGCACTGAGATGCTTACAATGCCACCGGATCCCCAAGACTTCCCGCCCACTGACCTGTGAACTTCCTGCATTCGGCATCATTGCATGTGTTTTGTGAGTCTGAAGACGACTTTATAGATTGGTATCGGACATATGGGCTAATAATGGACTTATGCACTTGATCTGGACTGGGCTGGGATGTTTTCTTAATTTATAATTACTCTTTATGTAAAGCTCTTTCTTATACACATGAGTGTCTAGGGATTTGTT